ATTCGGACGGTTGGTCTCCTCAAAACTGGATGTGATAAGGCCGAACAGAATATTGGCTGGTAGGCTCAGACGCTCTTGTAAGAAAGCCAAACAAGTTGCGCGAACAGAAGCGGAATCCTTGAAGGAGGGTTCAGGGAGAATGAATGGTTCTACCCGAAGTGGAAAAGTCTTGAGACCCTGGCTAGCCAAATCTCGATAGACAAAAGAAGTTGAAACGTGCTGAGCAGCAGATGAAGAAGCGGAAACTGGGATTTAAGAAGAATGAAATAATGAAAAGCAGAAACAAATAACGTTGTGAAATTCAAAATATCATACACATATCATCATATTTGAGTGCCAACTTTGGCACTATAAAAACAAATAACCTAGTTTCAAGGATAATTGGAGAAGAACAAAGGAACTAATATTCATTGGAAGTACCATAACTATGTTAGGACAATGTATTATGTTGAATTAAAAGTTAAGAAACAATTTTAACTTTGCGGGCCTTAGAGATATAAAAATTAAAGCGCAGACAGGTAGTGAGCGTGTACGATAGTATATAGCTCAATATCTTTAATAATTCTGATAACTCTTGGCTGATACTCTAGTGAATTAATATTTATAACACATTATCTGATAGCCGGACCAGCATTAAGAAGTTTAAGCGATAGATAATTAGGATGATATGATTATAGATTTGCGCTCACAATATATATAGGTTAGTGAAAAATGACCCTAAAAGTCAGATAAGATGTTAGAAACCAAGGCGATAAACTTTATGTACATTTCGTCTGGAAAGGAAGATATAGGGTATTCGTAAATTAACTCGGCCTAAAAAAAAATCCGAGCAGAGCTTACGTTTGTAAATTGAAAACTATCGTTAGAACGATAAACCAGCATTTGGGGAAATTCGCGAAAATCTGAAGCAAGTCATGGCCGGGTCCAATCCTACTTATTATTTCTTATACCTAATTATTCAAACGTAATGAGGTAGTTCAGACTTTGACTAGCGAAGAAAATCATGGAATCTTGTGGCATGACGCTCCATTTGGTTGGAAAGAATTCCTTGGTTCACCGTCCTGCCACCTGCAGCCTGATCTAGAAAGAGGATGTGAATATTCTCTAAAGGAAGTAACCACTGAAAGAAGTGTTAATTTTTCTTTATACATTGTTTTTATGTATCATTTCCTCAGTAGATCGCACAACTTTTTCGCAAGCTGACAGGAAGACAAAATCAGGAACCGAGTAGAATTGTACTAATTCTAATCGAAGGTATGAAGATCAAGATGGTGTGGCCTTTTGTGTGGTCGGAGTCTCCTTTCGTTGTATAGAAGTTGTTTGACCTTGTATTCGCAACATGGTCATATTGGTAAAAAGACTTAGAGAAACGCACCTAGTCCGGAGTCC